AGTTCTGGATTGCTCTCTCTCTCAGTTTTCCCATATACAAGCTGGAGATAAAAGTGGTGTCCTTGGCTCAGTTGAAACAATATAAAGAGAATCACATATACTACCTCTACATCCAGAGAGTCCAAAATAGTGGTTTCAGAAGTATTATTTTATTTTCATTATTTTATTTTCAGGGTCACCCTCTTAGACAAGCATCCTTTCTTCCACAGAAGAGAAAACATGGCCAGGAGAAGTGGAGAAACTTGTTTGGGATTACAAAGCAAAGGTCTTTCTATTTGTAAGTTTAGTCTGAATGATAGTGAAGGGTTCAAGAGGACAAAAGGGATGTGCCCCTGAGTGTCCAAGCCTTGTTGTCTACCTATGTCTGCTAAAGCAGCATTCTTCACCTTTCCTACGCTTACTGATGGGCACCTGTCCTGAAGACCAGTCCTCACCTGGCAGTAGTTTTCAATCTTTCTACGCATGCAGGTTAGCACAGGTGCATGGATTGGTGGTTGAAAACCGTTGTTCTAAAGGTCCACTCTCAGTCGCCTCTTTCCACCCCTCCTTAACTATTCTCCCAACTCCTCCACACAGATCTCCCCAGATCCGTACCTCAAGTCAACCTTACAAGCCTTGGGAATTTATCTTCTATTAAGTCGCAGTGTTTTTTTATAACTTCTTTTTGTAGCTAGAGATTGTAAATTTTCCTCTGCTGAGTCCTGTAGCTGACTGCCTGTTTTTCATTATATTTGTAGGGCTCAGGGAGAGAAAAAAAAAGTCAATTCCTTTATTTGAGAATCCTGACATTTATTAGCATAATAAAACTCTCGAGATGAAATTGCAGTTTTCCAGACAGTAATTTCATTTGCAGGACAACTTACAAGGAATTTATTTTAAGGCCAGGTAAAACCTAAAATATATGAGACATGAAGAAAGTGCAAGTCCCAAATAAAATGAAATAAATGTATTAGGCCAGCTGTTGTCTCTCACATGTTAATTAGGGGTGACAGGAACAATAGCCCAGAGATTGAAGTTCTCAGTGCATCTTAGGCGACTTTCAAAGCTGCTTTGGAATGAGAAGTTTCTTCTTGTTAGTTTCTTCTAACACCTTGGGTATCATCATATGATGGGTACCTTTTTCCCTCCCAACCTCACCCCATATCACTGCAGAGCACAAACTTGGTATTGCTGTTATGGTGGAGGTTGTGGGCAGCCTCTCATTTAGACAGAGCTTTCTGAGCCATCATTAGCTAGGGAAGGTCATCCACATGCTCCTCTCCCTTATACTGAACTTTAACGAGATAAAGCAACTTGAACAAGGTCACATGGTTGGTACGCAGCACAGTTAAGACTCAACTTCCATTAGGCTGGGAAGTAACAGAAAAGAATTGCAATAATAAACAGTTTGGATTGTTTGGGAGGGCTCCTCAGTAGTGCTCAGGTCAGAGGCCCCTCTGTGGTTCCAAGACCTCAAGGCAAGTGCTCCAGGCCTTTAAGTATCCTCTCTAGCCCAATCAGTTAGAAATTTAAGCATTTTGCAGATGTAAAAGCAGTTTCTCACCTTCTCTTAATTTTATCTATTCCAGTGCCTGTGAGATAGGGTCATAAGCCAGACTGTGAAATTGGATATTCCTGAACATATTGGTGTGATGACTCCTTTCTTATATTCCCCCAAAAGGTAAAGCCTACAGCAAATGTGTATGTGCTGCTATTTTATACCAGAATTCAGGTCCATCATAGCAGAGAGGGGGTAGAGGAAGGCAGAGAAGACAAGCATGAAGGTGTGGCCGTGATCTGCCACTGCTTGGCTTCACTGTGCCTGCTCCATTGGCAGAAAGCATAAGAGATGCTTCACCGGATAATGTGAAGGACTACCTTCTCAGAGAACTACATCTCCGAACTGTCTCCTTCCAGCAGGAGGAAAGAAGGATTGACCTTCCAGGCCCTGTCTCCCATTGATCAGATGTTTGCCACAGGGGACGTTAACTTCCTCACACTCCTTAATTGTCAGGTGTATTATACCTCTGCGGTAACGGTGGGTGCCGAGAGGACCATAACACACATGTGGCAAGGAACCTCTGGTTGGTTCTCATAGGAAGTTAACCAACAAAATGAAGCAGAGGAGTGTCTAGGAAAAATTGGTTATAGGGATGGCACCTGGGTGATACAAGTGGCCAAGGATCTGAAGAACAGGTAAGGTAAGAGGTGACGTAAATCATAAAAGATGCTTCACCCAGTTTAGTCTCACTCATCCACAAAGCCATTCATCGTTTCACTCTCTCACAAAATCCAATACTGTTAGAATTATAATACTTATAAATTCCCATGTGGGGATTTGAACCCAAGTCCGCTTGACTCTTAAACTTGCAATATTGGGGCTGGAGAGATAACACAGCGGGTAGGGTGTTTGCCTTGCACGCGGCCGACCCGGGTTCGATTCCCAGCATCCCATATGGTCCCCTGAGCACTGCCAGGAATAACCCCTGTGCATAGCTGAGTGTGACCCAAAAAAAAAATCACTTCTGCAAACCATAATGCCCAAAAGTAGAGAGAGATTCAAAAGAAACAGTGACCAAAATACAAAGACAGTCTACAGAATGGGAAAGGATATTCACCGAACACACATCCGACAAGGAGTTGATATCAAGGATATACAAAGTACTGGTTGAACTCCACAAGAACAAAACATCCAACCTCATCAAAAAATGGGGCAATGAAATGAACAGACACTTCCTCAAAGATGAAATTCAAATGGCTAAAAGGCACATGAGAAAATGCTCTACATCATTAATCATCAGGGAGATGCAGATCAAAACAACAATGAGATATCATTTCACACCACAGAGACAGGCCCACATCCAAAAGAACAAAAGCAACAGGTGTTGGCGCAGATGTTGTGAGAAAGGGACCCTCCTTCACTGCTGGTGGGAATGCCGACTGGTTCAGCCCTTCTGGAAAACAGTATGGACGATTCTCAAAAAACTAGAAATTGAGCTCCCATTTGACCCAGCAATACCACTCCTGGGAATATACCCCAGAGAGGCAAAAAAGTATAGTCAAGCGATATCTGCAGTTAATCAAGTTCATTGCAACACTGTTTACAATAGCCAGGATCTGGAAAAAACCTGAGTGCCTGAGAACAGATGAAACTTTGTAAACAAAGTTAAAGATGTAACTGTTAAAGAAACTTTGGTACATCTACACAGTGGAGTACTATATAGCTGTTAGAAAAAATGAAGTCATGAAATTTACATACAAGTGGTACTACATGGAAAGTATCATGCTAATCGAAATGAGTCAGAAAGAGAGGGATAGACATAGAAAGATCACATTCATCTTGGGAACATAAAGTAACAAAATAGGAGACCAACACCCAAGAATAGCCGAGATAAATACCAGGAGGTTTACTCCATGGCTTGGAGGCCAGCTTCTCACTCTAGGGGTAAAGGCAGCCCAGATGTAGAGGGGAGCACCAAATGGGGGGTATTGGGAGGATCCACCCAGGATGGGAGAAGCATGCTGAAAGTAGACTCTAGACCGAACATGATTGCCACTCAATGCCTCTTTTGCAGGCTACAGCACCCAAAAGGAGAGAGAGAACAAAAGGGAATTCCCTGCCACAGAGGCAGGGTGGGATGGGGGAAATGAGGGGGATGGGAGGGATACTGGGATTAGTGGAGGGGGAGAATGGGCACTGGTGGAGGGATGGGCACTTGATCATTGTACAATGGAAACCCAAGCACAAAAATTTGTAAGTCTACAACTGTACCCCATGGTGTTTCACTAATAAAAAAAATAACAAAGATAATAAAGAAACAAGTTAACAAAAAAAAAGTAGAGAGAGATTATGGGGAATCATAACTGCCATGGAAGCAGAGGGAGGATGGGAAAGGAGGGTTATACCGGGGATATTAGTGGTGGGGAATGTGCACTGGTGGAGGGATGGGTGTTCTATCATTGTGTGATTGTAACCCGAACATGAAAGTTTATAACTATCTCACGGTGATTCAATAAAATTAATTAAAAAAAAACTTGCAATATTCCCATGATAATATGTTGTCTGTGCATAAGTTCATAAATGTGAAATACAAATGTATATACATAGATAGCAGCCCTGAATGTTGTTGAGAAGCTATTGGGAAATTTTTCTTCCTTTTATGAAGAGAATACTAAAACTAAGTAGAAATAATACCAAAACCAACAGCAATATGAGGGTGGTTATCATTTGACTAACCTGAATAAAGATCAAAAATCCTAGTGAAAAAAAGTCTTACTAGAAAGCTACAAACCATTCTTGTATTTATAATTCCTTTGCAGGTCTTAACACAGGTGTAAGATTATATGAACTCACAGCTTCAATATCACCAAGGGCAGAGAAGTCAGCAAATAAAGCAAATAATAAAGGGAAGGTAGTGTTAGTTTCCTGTTCTGAAATCTGGAGTTCAAAACTTTAAGGAATTCCAATGATGAACCAATAAAGAAAATAGTGAACATCATAAATAGATACAGCATCTCTATCTTCCATATAAATCCTTCACAATATTTTTTCTATGATCTCCATGTCTTAAAAACAGTGAAGATTAGAAAATAAGTTACATTACTGACTGGTGTTGGAAAACTTACAGAAGTTCATTCACTTTATCAAATAGTTGCTTGAAGGTCCACTTCAGATTAACTTTAGGTTCGGCACTGGTATTATTTTTCATTATTAAAATATGATCCATGTACTCTAAGAGCTCAGTTTCAGGCAGCCATGAAAAACAGACCATCTTCTGGTGTTATATCAAAATTCTTCACAAATTGCACTAGCTAATAGGAATTTTGTCCTGGATATTAAGTCAGGAAACACTAACATATATACCTGTTATTTAATATCCTTGAAATAGTCTAATCTACTTGATCCTCTTGATAGTTTTGAGTCTTCAAAAAATTCACATTGGAGCTGGGAAATTCTTAAGTTGAGTTCAGGGCAAAGGATACCCAAGGTAGTCCAATTGCTGAGGGGTAAAAAAAATTATTCAAACAACAAATGGTAGTCTGGTGGGCTGTCCTTCTGTCCACAGGGTTCCTGCAGCAATTCTCCTCCTGAAACAGTGATAATTTCCTCCTAAAAGTTGGAGAGAAAGGTGAAGTTACTAATAATTAAAAATTAAATTGATATCCAATTGATATAATTTTAATTTTAAATTAGAAATTAAATTGATAGAGAGAGATTGGTTTAAAACTTAAAAGCCGAAAAAGACCAAAAGAAATTATTCCTGCTTCATTCTCACTCAAATTTCATGAATGACAGGGAAGAATGGCTCTTAGAAAGAAACCTGCAAAATAGGAATGAAAACTATTAAGAAAGCAAAATTTGAAAACCAAAACAGCAAGAGGATGAGGGGAACCCAGAGCAGTAGTACAGCAGAGAGGGTATTTGCCACGCACACAACCAACCCAGGTTCAATCCCCTGTACCACATATAGTCCCCCAAGCACTGCCAGGAGTGATTCCTGAGCATAAAGCCAGGAGTAAGCCCTGAGCACCATTGGGAGTCCTGCTCAACTCCACAAATTAAAAAAAAGAGGATAATATCAAGGAGTCCATGTGGGGCAGTGGCACGAGCAAGCATAAGTGAAAATGTTTAGGGAGACCTCAACATCAAGGGTGTTTGTTCCAGCAGATAAAGCAATGAATCTTTGGAGGCCCAAAGACCCCAAAAGTTCAGACACTTCTACATCCAAAATATGCCACTCACTCTCAGCTCTAATCCAATCTGGACAGAAACAGGAACTAATGGAGACAGAGGAAATTCGAAGTTTAATGATCACCACATAGCCCAAAATTTACTTAAGGAAAACTATAACCATAAAAGAAAGACAACAAATTCAACAGTAGAACTGACTCCAAGAAAACATCAAGTTTGTAATGCAGACAGAACCTTTAAGAGATGTGTATTAATAGGCTCAGCAGAATAAGAAAATAAATCATTCATGAAACAAGAATGGGCTATTATTTTCAAAGAACCAATTATAGACCCTAGAAATAAAAAGGATGCCCATTTAAAAGAGAAGAAAATTTTCAACACAAGAACTGAGGAACTAAACGGGCATAACTAAAGAGCAATATAGTGGCTGAAAGAATTGGCCCATCAATAAGAAAGAGACATGTAAGTAGAAAAATGGGCAAAAGAGATGAATAGACAATTCACAGGAGAGGGCCAAGTGGCTATTAAACATTCGAAAAGGTCCTCAGCTTGCGTAGCAATCAGAGAAAAGCAAGCTAAATAATGGGCGGCTATTTGATGGGTCAATATTAAAATGACTGATAATCCCCAGCAGCGGTGTGGGGCAACAGTTTCATATAGTTTTGGCAGGAGCATGACTTGGCACTACAATTTTGGAGGGCAATTTGGCAGAGCTTTTCAAATTAAAATATGCATAGTCTTCCATCCAACTATTTCCAGTTCAAGAGCTCCATCCTAGAAATATATTTACACTGTGTCCAAAGTTACATGCAAAAAATTCTCTGCAGCACTATTTGTGACCAAGAAAACCTCAAAGTGACATCAATGGCCAGTAAAGGGACAATGGATAACTAAATTATAATATATACCCATACCATGCCATCTCTTATGGCTCTGCAAAGATGTGGTACATTTATTGGGAGAAAAAGATCTTTCAAATGTATTTCAGTTACCTCAACATGTTCTGAGAACATTCAAATGTCTGCTATCACTTTTCACTGAGATCTTACAGAAGCCTCATAGTGACCCTAAGAGATTGGGGACTATTTATTAAATCCTTTTTTCTGAAGAGTAAACTGAGGCATGGAAGTTTAGTAGTTTCCTAAAGTCACTATCTCGAAGCTCAGATTTTAAGCTTGGCAGCCTTGTCCCAGGGGCCATGACTTTTTTAAATCTATTTTTTAACTATGTATGGTTTTTTAAAAAATCAATATCTGAGATATCAGTAAAGGATTACCCAGTCTGTATGATAAATAACAAAACTATGGGGTTTGTAGAGCAGTTAAGCTCATGCCCAGCTCACACCTAACCCAGGCTTGATTCCTGGCACCACATGGCGCAGTGTATGGCTGGGTATAGCCCAGAGGCCTATGAGCATCTCTGGTGTGGCCCTGAGGGTCCCCAGAACCACAAGCAGCCTGAGTACTCAAGCAATATTGCATCTTCAGGCCCTGTTGGCTGAGAGTTGCTGGTAAGGATACTGGATCTCCTGCACCAGGGAGGCCCTCAAAGCAAAATAGAATTTATATGTTTCCAAATAATGAGACTACGTATTTCTTAAATTTTTATGTTAATGCATAGGAAATACCCAGATACTACCAAATTAATATTTCAAGGTAGAGAATGAACACGGAATTTGAAATGAACGATGCTTCTATTTTATATTATATTTGACTCTTCTTAGAATGCAAATTAATTACATAATTAAAAATCTAATTTATAAAAGCTCATCAGATCTCCACATGGGCCTTCATGAGAGCTCTCCTTGGTGTTAGAAACTATATTGACAGTTTCAGACCTTAGGCTGGGGAGAGAATAAGAATCATCAAAGACATCTGGTCCATGCTGGAATGTGTCCAAAGTGCCTCAGAAATAGACATTTACCTGTAGCTGTACACTTCAAGACAGAAGGAACTCATCACTACTCATGTCTTGGGTGGTGAAAGCAAGCCATGTGTCAGAAGAAGAAAACCACAAACTTCAGAAGAACAAAGCCTGACCTTGCTGGGACCAGCCATTAAAACTTAGACAAGCTATGCAAGTCCCCAGGCCTTGCTTTTCTGATCTGTGAAAAGGGACTATCTGTCTCTTTCACAGAGCTGTGATGAGGATTAAATGTAGCATGTATACAGAGCAATGGGCAACTGAAGCCTTAGCTGGGGCTTGAAGGCAACCCTGTGATACAAGAAACTGTTCCTGGAGTCTTGCCTCATAGCTTTACCCCTAGATATCTATGTTACTTAGTCTGTACTTGACCCAGAGAAGTGGCTAATATCCACACATTCCCTCACATTCTCCTCCCTGCAGTTGTGAGGCAGAAGACCTAACAAGCTCTGTTCAACACCATGGAATCTGCCTTGATTCAGCACAGTGCAGTTTTCCAGTGGTACTTTTTACTCAGTGCCTGTGTATTGTTAAATGGGTCCTCTTCTCTGTGCTTGACTTATAGAGTCAAATCAAAAGCACTCCCTAGGGGCTGGGGAGAAAGTACCGAAGTCAAAGCACTAGCCTTGCATATGGTTAGATCTATGGTTAGATCCCTGGCACCTCAGGACCTGAACACCAACTCCTCAGGCCCTACATTGAAAACATTGGCCATGTCGGCTGAGAATAGCCAGGAGTGGCCCCCAGGACCCATGAGCACTGCTTGGGAGACCCGCCCCTCCTCCTAAAAGAAGAAAGCTCTCTCTAAAACCCTGAGTATATTTATAAACATGAATCCATACAAATCCAAGCTTCCCTATAAGAAGAGCCAAAGTCCACGAGACAGTCTCATAATTCTCCAAATCTTCCTCCACCTGCTGAGCTCAAGTTAACCCTCCACCTGCTGAGCTCAGGTTAACCCTCAGGTTAACCCTCAACTACCACAACTGTGGTATTCCCCAGGTCCTGCCCTCCTGGAAGAGTGAGTTCCACACTTGGCTTTCTCCCAGTTCCAATCTGCCATAGTCCCATGAACACAGAAGACACCTCTCTCAATGTATTTTGTTCAAAAGATACTATGTCTCATAAAGTAACAAAATATGAGATTAATACCCAAGAATAGCTGAGATCAGCACCAGGAGGATTACTCCATAGTTTAGAGGCCAGCCAGGCATTCTAGGGGAAAGGGCAGCTCAGATAGAGAAGGGAGCACCAAATAAAGGGTGTTGGGAGGATCCTGCCAGGAGGGGAGATGCATGTTGAAAGTAGACTATGGACTGAACATGTTTGCCACTCAAAGCCTCTTCTGCAGACCACAACACCCAAAAGGAGAGAGAGAACACAAGGGATTGCCCTGCCACAGAGGCAGGGTGGGATGGGGATGATGGGGGTTGGGAGGGATACTAGGATCCGTGGTGGTGGAAAATGGGCACTGGTGGAGGGATGGGTATTTGATCATTGTATAATCTAAACCCAAGCACAAAAAATTGTAAATCTAAAAAAAAATGACATAAAAAAACTTTTAATAAATTTATTATCAATTAAAAAATAAATAAATAAGTGAGAAAGAGAAAAAAAAAGATACTATGTCTTGCTCCATGTGAGGTACACAGAGGAAGAACAAATAACCAAGTTCTGAGAAAGAAGCACTGCCATCCCACTAGACAGCTCAAGCCCTGCTGGGTGATTGCTTGCAGGATCTGAGCTGAACATTGCCTCCAAGGCCCCCTTTGGAAACCAGATGAGGGGCTCTTCAGGGAGATGAGGTGTGAAAGTCACACACACGCTAAAGCTACAGTTGGCGACACAACAAGAATGTGTCTATGGCCATGAGTCTCCTGTTGGACTTCAGCTGAATTTACTAAGAGCCTTGTAAGTGAGTTCTCCTAGGAATAAATGGGGAGAAGAAATGGGCCTGGACAGAAGGGCACTCAAACAGTCCCTAAGGACTGAGAGTAGGGAGAAGCCAGGAACTTCAGTGAAGAGAAATCAGGGAGACAAAGTAAAATCTTCACGTGAACCAGAGAGGAAGTCAGAGAGCATAAGAGCAAAACCCAGAACCTGGTCCCACGATCTTTCATGTCTCTACTCCGTGACTAAGTTCTGGGGCCCTACAGCCCTTCTTGGCTGTCACTCTTCCTCTACCAATCCCATTCCTTACAGTGACCATAGCCTGATTCACCCCCAACTCAAGTCTCTACCGTCCCCTGCCCCCAGCACCCCAAAGAGGGCTACCTTGTGGAAATCAATGAGGTCTGTGAGCGTGGCATGGCGATTGGGGTCCACTCCTAGGAAGCTGTAAAAGTCCCCAGAGGCATCCACCAGAAAGTGCTTGAACCCCTTCTGCAGGCGGTAGGAGAGGGTGTAACCCCAGATTTTCTCACTGACCCGAACCAGAAAGGCTCCCTCAGTCATGTTCTCCAGGAGATCTTCTGCATCTTCTCGGCTAATAATTC